GTGAAGGCAAGAGGAGAAGGGGATGACAGAGGATGAGATAGTTGGACAGTGTCATCGAAGCGACCAGCATGACTTTGACCCAACTTTGCGAGGCAGTAGAAGACAGGAGGGCCTGCCGTGCTGTGGTCCATGGGGTCACGAAGAGTCGGACACGACTAAATGACTAAACAACAACAAAAATGGAGTATGAAACTGACTGGATGACATGAGTCTTACAATCTAAGAAATGCAAAACTGGAAGGGACCCTATGGATCACTTGAGTCCAGCTCCTGTCAAGGAGGCCTAGTGGGGGAATTGAACTCCCAACCTCTGGCTCCACGGTCAGATGCCTCAACCACTGAGCTACCCAGCAGTTCCAGTTACTCTCACCCACACCTATCTTTTAGGGTTGTACCGATGATAATGGTGTGGAGAAAGAGGAGCCCTGTGCATTTCGCTGGACGCAGCGAAGAAAAGGCAAACTAGAGAGACGGATGAATGCGTAGTGGCAACAGCTTGCCCCAGGAACTGCTTGAGGATTCTCTGCAACTGCTCTGATCTTCCCTTGTCCACTGGGTAACCCTTCATTTCCCAGCAACCTCAGAACGTGGGATATGGCCACTGAGATACCAGGGAGATACTCCAAGCTAGAGGGAGCAGCTCTTCACGGGCAAAGCTTGCCCAACACATTTTTGCTGCCTGGGCCAAAGGACAAAAAAAGATGTTTACACCCTTTCTAGCTTTGTCGCAGGGCACCTTGGTATTGAGAGGCAATGACTCTGTTCTTGTAAAACAGGCTGGTTTTATAAATTAAAAATATTTGTATTCCAAGCCAGTTGATTGCAAACTTCAGCTCCATTGCAGAAGAAATAGAGGACAAGGCGAAAGGAGGCATCTGGAACTGTTGTGGGCTAGCAGTGCATGAGAGATGCCTCTATTTGCTATCCTGAATAGGTAAATCTGCATTTTGCACCATTACGTCCACTTCAAAGTGCTACTTTGCTCCTCACCTTCCATATTGACCATCTGGAAAGAGCGCTTCATTCAGACCTGAAGCCCTCCATACCGGTGGGCTCTGTATTTACCATGGCTTCCAAGAAATTGTTTCAGAGTCTTAATCTCCTTTGAAGGTGAATGCCCGAGAGAGCTAATGGGATGGTGACGAGGCCTGTAATCCTGTTTGTTTTTGCAATAATGGGCTCATTGATGGCGGCTTTGGTTGGTAAGAGCAAAGTCCAAACAAAGGAGAGCCTCAGACACAATTTAATAGTGGCTCGTAGCAACTCCAAGCACGGCTTGCCAGCGTTGCTTTGGACTCCAAGGGCTGTGTGTTCCCTTGTCAATATGCTGTTCCTGTTGTAAGGATGGCGTGCCATCGACGTGCCTATTGGATCCCACGCAGAGGTGTTCGGATGTGCAAAAGACATGGCCGGTAGGTACAAAGTTAGGGTCGGAGGAGAAAGGAGGAGCTACTTCATAAATGTCCCTGAATGTTTGGAGATAATGAGGTTGAGCTAGTGTGTGTATTGGAGAGCAGCACCATTGAGAATGAGGACAGAGCACCTGCTTGTGTAGGAGGACGGAGAAGCCAAATCCTGCACCTGGAAGTGGTATTTAGACGCTCATTATGCTTGCCTCCTCCTGCAAGGGAAAAATATTGATATGAATGTAATGTTATTAACTTCCTTTCTGCTGCAGAATAGAAATGGCTCTCCTGGATAAAAACAGACAGAACGGTTGTTGAGACATTGCAAATTCATTAGTTTTTAAGGCTGCAGCCTTTAAAAACTAATGAATTATACATATTCCAATAAGTATGTCAGTAAAAGAAGCTTGGTAGTTTAGATTCTCTTCCCTGTCCCCCCCCCCAAAAAAATTCACTTTTGGGCTTTCTGGTGTGTAGCCCAATTCTTCCCTCTTCCTCTTCTTCGTTTTATCCTGTAGTTAAAGCAATCCTACAATGGAAGAGTTTGATAACACATAGGCTAATTGTGCCACAAGGGGCTAATTTAAGGGATTTGTCATCCTAAAGCGACTTAAAGGCTATGTAGGTAACCAGGAGCTCCATGTTAGTTGCAAAAGGGAGGCAGTAAGTGACAAACAGAATGCATAGCTTGGGGGATTCGTTGTGCAATTGTGAGTTTCTTGAGGAGGAGCAACCTGAAAATTAATGTTGGGGGGTGGGGAGGGAATGTGGCTCCAGTGCCCTTCCATTCTGAAGTTTCAATCCTTCAACCATCATTGAACTTGGACCTTCTTCTTTTTTTTTACAAACAGAAACTGGTTTAGAGAAAGGCTCTGGAAAGGTTTGTGCTTGTTGGTTTGGAAAAGACTCCCCCCTTCCCTTTGGGTCTGCTTGTAATGGAAGTTGAAAGGTTGTGAGTGACCTTTGCCTGGAGGACTTGCTGCCTACCAAAGTGGGCAGCACTAAGTTAGATGTCAGAAGCATTTTTGTAAATGTAAATGTTTTCTGGGCAATAGCCCTAAACTAACAATCTCAAGCCATTTCCTATGGTATGTTGTTTAGTCGTTTAGTCGTGTCCGACTCTTCGTGACTCCATGGACCAGAGCATGCCAGGCCCTTCTGTCTTCCACTGCCTCCTGGAGTTGGGTCAAATTCATGTTGGCCGCTTTGATGACCCTGTCCAACCATCTCGTCCTCCGCCGTCCCCTTCTCCTCTTGCCTTCACACTTTCCCAACATCAGGGTCTTTTCCAGGGAGTCTTCTCTTCTCATGACATGGTATAAGAACTGATAAATCTGGTGTCCACTATCATCCCTTCCACCTCCACCTTAAGCTCCCCACCATTGTCTTCCACCAGTATTCATCAGAGATGGGGGATTAAGTTGTAGGAATGGCTCTCAGTGGCTCAGAACACGCCTCCCCCCGCCCCCTCTCTTTTTTCTGGGGAAAAAAACTTATTTTTTATTAGGGACTCAGACATGAAGCTTAGGACTCAGGAGATGGTACCCAAGAATTGGACTTGAGACTTGGTACCAAAGACTCGGATTGGAGACTCAGACCCAAAGGTTTGCTAACATCTCTGCCATTCAGTGTGCGTGACTATTTCCTTAAACATGACCTTAGATTGTCTTTTGCAGGTATTTATGGTAGAGGTGGAAAGAGAAGAATTCCAAGCAGTCGAGATATGGAAAATATAATTGATTTGTGGCGTCTGTTTCCCCTCTCTGTCTGAAGGCAGAAATATTTCAGCCTTCTTGCTCAGCATCTCCCTCATTTAATCAGTGAAGATGATGTCTGTCAGGATAAATAAAGAAAAGCAAACCATCATCACTCAAGGAGGGATGCAAATATTTGCGTATTTTGTTGTTGGCAGACAAGTATGAAAAATGTTGAAAGTTTCTTCGAAGGATTACAAGAGTTTTTGTCCCTCCCCTTTTCCGGAACTGTTCTGTGAAAAATTCAGAGAGGCGCTTTCCCTCCGTGCGCCAAAACTTCCCTGTACTTTGCACAGAGAGCCTTGTGTTTTGCACAAAAATCCTCCTATTTTTCACAAAACGCAAGGTTTTAAAGGTAAAATACACAGGGTGTGTTTTTCCCCACCCACAACCACTTTTGGGAATGCTGCTGGTGTCCAAAAAACAGTGCTGCTATTATTGCCTTTCATGGAACATCAATCAATCAATCAATGAATCAATCAATCAAACAGCTGTTGCCAATGTTTTGATGCAGTGGAGACACCCTTTGTCACTGGGGATAAGAAAATTAGTTACAATACGTGCTTTCAAATGATGAAAGGAAGTCACAACCTCAGGAACATAGGAATGTCAACATGAGTCATGCAATGTTAAATCTAAGATCGGGAGAGCAGCGGGGAGCTGTCTGAATATCCATTGGTGCCCTGGAGCAATGCTCTACCTCAAGGGCACTGAGGGGGGCATTGGAATGGTGGTTTGCAGCTGTAAGTGCCATGACAGGTATCATATTCCATGAGCGTCAGGCACCAACGCCAGGTCTGGCCTTTTATATGGCTTTAACATTGCCTTTTAGAATAATCTATCATCTGAGTTTAAAGATGGTGCATGTTAGAATTGAGTTTTATCTACTGTTTTTAATTTGTTCTGAAAACGTGTTTTAATCTGTAGTACATTGATTTAGGTACTGTGGCAGACAAAAAAGTGATAAATACATAGTTTTAACATGTGAGTAAATCAACGATTGGTGTGTAGAAGCATTGAGCAAGATCATATGGGTCTAAAACAGAAGCAAGAACAACAGTTGATCCTTTGTTCAGGATGGTCCTCCTGACACTGAATGGGCTCTGTGGCACAGTGGTTAAACTGCAAGCCTCTGCTCATGAGCTGAGTTCAATCCCGGAGGATTCCAGTACAGTGGTGCCCTGCTTGACGATTGCCTCATTATACGATGAAATCGCTTCACGACGATGTTTTTGCGATTGCTATTGCGATCGCAAAACAATGTTTCAAAGGGCTTTTTTTGCTTGATCATGATCGATTCCTTGCTTCGGGAACTGATTTTTCGCTTAACGACGATCAGAAAACAGCTGATTGTCGGGTTTCAAAATGGCCGCCTGCTGTGCAAAACGGCTCCCCGCTGTGTTTAGGATGGCTTTTTCACTTTACAGGCACCGGAAAATGGCCGGCCTATGGAGGATCTTTGCTGGACGATTAGGTATTTCTCCCATTGGAACACATTGACCGTTTTTAATGCATTTCAGTGGGGGTTTCCCCCCGCTTGACGACGATTTCGCTCTACAGCGATTTTGCTGGAACGGGTTATCGTCAAGCGGGGCACCACTGTAGCTGGTTGAAGGTTGACTCAGCTTTTCAACCTTCTGAAATCTGTAAAATGAGCACCCAGCTTGCTGGAGGGCAAGTTGTTCTTTACATAATTGTGTTGTGAACTGCCTAGAGAGTGTTTTAGCATTGTGGGGCGATAATATACATCAAAACAACAACAATAATGTTTGAAGCCATTATCTCAAATTGGTACATGTTTTTTTGCCTCTCTCTCTCTCTCTTGTTGGTCTCTTCTCAGGGGCTATGAGGATCCTATTGAGACTGAAATTGTTGACGAGAGGATTCCATACCTGCATGGTACTTATGCGGCGCCTTTGGCCCAGCCCGAACGGGGGAGCATGGCCAGCATCGATCGCCTGGGCAAGCGTTCCCCTTCCATCGACAGCATCCGCAAGGACCCCCGGTGGCGGGACCCAGACCTCCCTGAAGTCATTGCTATGCTCAGTCACCCCATCGACCCCGTCAAGTCCAACGCGGCGGCCTACCTCCAGCACCTCTGCTACGAGAACGACAAGATTAAGAAGGACGTGAGGCACCTCAAAGGGATCCCCATCCTGGTGGGCCTGCTAGACCATCCAAAGCCAGAGGTGCACCGCAAAGCTTGTGGTGCGCTCCGCAACATCTCCTACGGAAAGGATAACGAGAACAAAGTGGCGATAAAGAACTGCGACGGGATCCCGGCGTTGATCAGGTTGTTGCGGAAAACCAACGACATGGAAGTGCGGGAACTCATCACAGGTTGGTTTTTTGCAGTCTTTCTTCCGGGAATCTGTTTTTTTCAGGAAGGCATTTATGAGATTTTAAGCCCACCTTAAAGTTCGTTTTGTAGAGATGGGGGTGTGACAGCCAAAGCGCCACTCTTGCAGGTGGGAGGTAGGATTTTTGGCCCACCAAATACATTTTTCCTCCCCTGAAGAAGGGCAGTGTGGGGGGGGCTCACATCCCCTGGGGGAGTGCAAGCTGCTTGCAGGTCCACTTTTCTCCCTACCGTCCACTCTGCCTGCTAGCTGGCATGCTCAACAAAATCTAAAAGATAAGACTTAGCTTGGTCATCTGGTCCATGGGCTACTGATCCCTTGCCAAGATGTGTTTGTTTAGCCTGCAGTCTTATTCCTGTTTATCTGGAATGAAGCTCCATTGAACTCAGACTGCTTTCTTCTGAGTAGAGAGTAGTAGGGTTGCATTGTAAGTTAAACTGTCATGTCAGTCTCTGATAGATGACAATAAATTATTATTATTATTAGATACCTACTTCTCAAAGCAATGCATACAAGAGTAGACCCATTCTAGATGGGCGGTATATAAATCTAATAAATAAATTCAAATAAATAAGATACGTTTGTTGAAGATTTATTCATATACAGAATCTCCAAAGCATTTTTTCAAAAAGTAACCCCAGTATGAAAATCAAAACTAAATAGACAGATATAAAATAAATAAGTTAACGTTGAAGATGTGATTTATTCATATACAGAATCTCCAAAGCATTTTTTTTCAAAAAGTAACCGCAGTATGAAAATCAAAACTAAATAGACAGATATAAATAAATAAATACAAGGAAAAAACCCTAAAGATTTTTCATACATACATACATACATACATACATACATACATACATACATACATACATACATACATACATACATACATACATACATATATACAGTTGCATCTCAGAAAAATAATTTTTGAAATACTCTTTAAAAAAATTTCAGTACTTATCTGAAAATGAAAAGAGAGGGCCCTGGCAGATTTATTATCTCAGAAAAGTAATTTTTAAAATACTCTTTTTTTCAAAAAAAATTTCAGTACTGATCTGAAAATGAAAAGAGAGGGCCCTGGCAGATTTATTCATTTAATCATATAGTATATTTATGTACGCCGTGAAATAGCAAAAAAAGATTTGCATCTCTGAAACATCAACAAATAAATGGGCTGGAATTCAGAAAGAGCATTGCCTCAGCATAATAAAAGCTGAGGGAGCAGCATCCTTAGTTTCTTTGTTAAAAAACCAGCAGGGAAAGATCACGTTGAATCCGGTAGTGGAAGGCTGTTTTGTGGTCAAATGCCACAACCAGGAAGTCTGTGTTCCTGGTTACAGTGGTGCCTCGCATAGCGAGGTTAATCTGTTCCGGATTAACCTTCGCTATGCTGAAGCATCGTTGATCGGATCAAAAAAAACCATTGGAACGCATTAAACATCGTTTAATGCGTTCCAAATGGGTCAAATACTCACCGTTCAGCGAAGCTTCGTAATGGCTGGCAGCCATTTTTGCGCCCTCGCCTCGCTTAACGAGGGCGCGAAAACGCTGCGCGCGGCCATTTTGGGCCATTTCCAGGCTTCCGGCGGCCATTTTGGCCGCCAAACAGCTGATCGTCAGGCTTCGTTTTGCGAAGATCGGTAAGCGAAACGCTTACCGGTCTTCGCAAAGCGAATTTAGCCCTATTTAAAAAACGTTAAGCGATCGCATTAGCGATCCGGAAAAACGGATCGCTATGCGATTTCATCGTTACGCGGTGCGCTCGTTAAGCGAGGCACCACTGTACTCCTGTGTCACCTCACCTCAGAAGATCAAGAGTATCCTCTAGTACTGTGGTCCCCAAGCTTGGGTCTCCTGATGTTCTTAGACTACAACTCCCAGAAGCCTTCACCACCACCTCTGCTGGCCAAGATTTCTGGGAGTTGAAGTTCAAGAACATCTGGAGGCCCAAGGTTGGGGACCACTGCTCTAGTAGATCTTATTGGTTCGCAGGATCCTGTATAATGGCCGAACCTTTAATACCAAACAACTCTCTAAAACCAACTGTCTTTTTTGAGACCATCTCAGAACCTTTACTTTTAAATCAAACCACCCTGAAATGTAGCCTTCAGAGATTTGAAATTAAGATACAACAGAGAATTATCAACCCCATGTACAGTACCATTAATACTATTAATAGCTCGTGGAAGTGTATGATTTTACTGCAAACATAAATTCAGATGTCTGTATGATGGAGCTGTGTTTCTTAAGGTGTTTAGGTTGATAAGGATGGCATTTTTCCCCAAAACACTGCTATCTCATGAAGTGGATCATGACCAATATTGTTGTCCAACTTTGAAACCCATCATAAATAACTTTGTGACCTCAGAATCTATGGTTGTGTATGTAGGACAGGCTTGGATATTACATTAAGCCATGGTTTCAAACTGTCTTATTCCATTCAAACCATAGGCAATATGAACAATGGTTTATCAGTTTACATCAGGGGTTCCCAACCTTGGGTCTAGGGACTGCATCTCCCAAAAGCCTTCACCACTAGTAGTGCTGGTCAGGATTTCTGGGAATTGTAGTCCAAGAACATCTGGGGACTCAAGATTGGAAACTATTGCTCTAGAGTCTAGACAATGCAAAAGAAACAAACAAAAGAGCTATGAGATGCACAGAAAAGAACAATTGGAAGCGAAGGGGAGAAAAAATGAATTAGGTTTATTATAACTAGTGGCAGCCACAAGGGTAGAAAACCTGGTGCTTGTTAGGTGTTCTAATCTAGAATTCTCAATTAATCCCAAACAGTGGGGACAATGATACTTGGGAGTACAGAAGATCTAGATGTCCCTGGTTTGCCGTCTCTTTCCTGGAGGATGTGCTGGCTGGCAGACCTGGGCAAAATGGGGCCCTCCAGATGTTGCTGAACTGCAGCTCCCAGCAATCCTAGCCGACACAGCCAAAAGTGAGGAGTGTTGGGATTTGCAGTTCAGCAACATCTGGAGGGCCGCACTTTGCCCAGGTCTGCCTGAATGCGACCCACCTATTTGTGGATGAAGCGGTGCTGCAGCATTTTGCTGTGGATTTGTATGTGCAAATGAAATATTTTTATTTCTGTATGGCCTGTATTGCCCCTTCCCTTCATTTCCCCCCCAAAGAAGACGAGTACCGTATGATTCACTTCTTGCTGTAACAAACTCACCGGTCTTTATTGAACAGATCGGAAATTGAGCCACAGCAAGTGACAACAGTGGGTTGTTGTTTTCTTTTAATGGTTGTTTTTCCCACACACACACACTTTGAGTTGGATGTGAACTCTTGGGACCCTGGCGGACTCTGTATTTCAGCTGATGATTCTCCGATTCCTGATATAGAGAAGAATGAGAGCAGGCCTGATAAGGAAAGTAATATGTTGTGATTCGGCAAAGCAGCAAAAGGTCGTATTTTTATCCTGACTGATAAGGCTCGGTGTGGAACAAACGTTCCCCTTGCAGATTCTGTGCGCGGCGCTTCTTTTGTACTGCTTGGACAGACGAGCCGAAGAAACCGGGAGCTTTAACTAGCTTTTCCTTCTTTGGGTACTCGGCACAATGTAATTTCTTTGGATTATTTGAAAATGCTGAAGACTGTGCAAACTCCCGTAGGGTCTGTAATTCTCTGTGCTAGACAAACTCCTAATTCCATAGACCTGAAACTCGTTTTTTTCTGCCTGCGCTGAGCCAGTTATGAGATACCTTACCTCCAAAGCAAAAGCCCCTCCATTGCTGATTTTTCGTAACTGGGCAGGTTGTGCAAGTTTTGAAAGGGGCCACCTCAAGAAGAAATGTATGGTTTGCCCCCCTTGCCCTTGAGACAGGGAACTGAACGTCGGCTGCTTCAACGGAAAGAAAAGGTTGCGATATTTTAATATATCCCTCCCGTATCTGACTGCATGGTCAAACTGCAGTCGGAATTAAAGCTGAGTCAGAGATATTTTTCCCCCTCCTTCTGAAAACAGGGAGAGGCAGAGTGTGGCAAGAATGAAAGGTTTCACCAAACATGACTCCCCCTCACCCCCTCACCCTTTTTCTTTTGTTCTTGTTTCATAGGTTTAAGGGATTGACTTAATTGGCTGCTATTTTTCCTCAAATAACAAGGTGAGGGCAGAAACCAGTGCAGTGTAGCATTATCATGAATCCAAATCAGAATGAGCCTAAGGGGCAAAAGGCATTGCTTAGAGTGGTCATTTGACCAGATAGGCGGGGTATAAATACAATCAATCAATCAATCAATCAATCAATCAATCAATCAATCAATCAATCAATCAATCAATCAATCAATCAATCAATCTCTCCCCTCTGGGATCTTCAGGAATCCAAAACCAGAGTGAAAGGATTAGCAACAAGCATCATTTTATATCCTCATTCTGTTATCGTTGTGAATCCAGTTCAGAATGAGGGTAGGCATAAGACACATGGAATGTCTTCACTCTTGCATCTACATGGAGCCAAATCAAAGGGAGGGTAGGAGCCACATATGTGGTTTGATTCCTATTCTTTTTGACCTACCGGGGAACGGATTTTCTTTCCTACCCAGAAAATAGCGCAGTGAGAACAGGAATCTCCGATTATTTGGCTTCTGTACAGCATCTGGAAATCACGCAAAAAAAGTACCAAGCAAAAGCCAGGGGTGTGGACAGTACAGTCTTTCTGCCCTCACCAATCTTGAGAGACTATACACAATATAGGTGAAATTTTCCTCCATGGTGTTTTTTTTTTAATCCCATGAAGGTTGAATTTCAGAGATACATAGCGACCACTGTGCTTGGCCCGATTCAAATACATAAATGACAACGCCAGATTTTTGGACAGGCCCCTGGCTACTGGGCCTGCAGATTTCAATTGTTTGCAAAGTGAGAATTTAATACAGATTCGCCTCCTTCTCCAACTGTGCAGAGCAATCGTAATCTTCTTTGAAAAGAATAAACCTTATTGCTGAAGCCCGTATTTGATG